GATTTTGGTGATACTATTTCTTTTATTAAGTATTTTATTTTGGTATGAATAATAAGATTTTGCTATTTTTGGCAAAATTTCGATAATTATTATTTTCTTGCTATTTAACCCGGCTTGTGGGTTATTTTCATTCAGTTGTTGAATAATAAAGATATTTCTCGTTTTTCTTTGTGTTTCTCTTGCGTTCTTCTCTGTTTTTGTCAATTGATTCCAGCATGCAGAATAATCACTATTCTGCCGGCGTCAGAAAACGATTTGAAAATGGTAAACAGAACATACATTTATTTTTAATTTTTTAAATGGGTTCCGTTCATTTTCAAATTTCCCATATTTTAAATGGATATACACTGTTGTTAGTCCACGATGGAAAGCTTTTGGACTGCTGTACAAACTGTTATAGGTAGTTTTCACCAGAAGTCACCCAACTTACAAGTTTATTCCAGTTTTGCCACCAAATTTATATTTTTTTCTTGTTTGAGCTCTATATATTGTTTGAGTCCCATTTTATTAGAGGAATGCATTTGGCCACATATCCTTCCGACTAAATAATGGAATATCTTTAAGGACAATTTACTTAGGTTAAAACATTTTATCAGGGAAGTAACTCCATCCCTAACGATCCAACGATGGAAATCTTTTCAAATAATAGATTGATTGCGAATGTTTGATAATAAAATAAGGAAAAATTTCAGATTTTCGTTTAATATTATTTTATTAAAAAATGTGTGATTGAAAAGAATCATTAAGTAAAAATTTATTTTGAAAATAATGGGAATATAAAAATATTTGTCTTTAGAAAAAACAAAATGAAGAGCTGAAATTGAGAACATTTTTGGAGTATAAAAATATTTGTCTTTCTAAATATCAATGCTTTCTATCATACTTAAGTCTTAAGATACTTTTTTATAAATAAATAGTAAAAAAACATATACCACATTTTAATTACATTAAAGATTATTAACATTTATTCAATATAACACTTATATCTTTAATTTTTTTCTTCATTACATTCTTATTTTTAACATTTTATTAATAAAAAAAATATTGATCTTAATCGTGATTTTAATCCCAAATATATTGTTAACACGTATTAAAATGTGGGTTTGTTTTGCTTATTTAAAAATACAATTAACGAGTGAGTATTTTTACTCTATCTTAAAGAAAAGTTTGGAAAGAAACTATCATCATGAATAATCTATATTAATTTGAGACTAAGAATGCGATGAGTTTTTTGATGATAAGTGTGATAAAGTATAAATGTTATTAAAAATTGTGGTGTAAATATATTTAACTGCTAAAAAATACACCAAGAGGTGCACATTTTGGGAGTAAGAGTGCATTTTTACTATTGATGTGATTGATAATAAGTGGTTGAAAATGAAGGAAAAATTATTGATGTGATGGAAAATATTATTTTATTGAAAAATGTGTGGTTGAAAATGAGTAGAAAAATGAGAATGAAAAAAATAATGTGAGTCAAACGGAGGCAGAATGTTGAATTTTAATAAGTGCTTTAAAAGAAAGATAAATAGAAAGAAAGTTAGATCGTCATTTCATAAAATAAACCCAATAATAACGACTATAATTATCAATAAAAGATACATAATATCTAGACCCTCATTTTGTAGCAATAGGAGCAAGTCCCCATACATCAGAGTGAATAAGATCAAATTGTGCAACAGAATGAGAAACATTTCGAGGAAAAGATAAAGCAAAAAATTTAGGTAATTTACAACCACTACAATTAGAAATGTCATGAATTTGCAAATCTCCCCATTGACGCTTAGAAACTAAAAATTTCAAACGACTAGTGGAAACATATCCAAGGCAAGAATGCCACGAATAAAAACTATAAGACGATAAATTCAAGCAGGAAAATGAAAAGTCAACACCAAAGGCTGCCACGCGCTTGACCGGAAGATGAGTTTCGACGTCCTGAACAGGAATTTGGTCTCAGTTTTCTCAATCGGTCTCTCGTTCGATCGGAATCGTGATTTTTAGTTGCAGCGGAGTATGGTTTTACACAGTTTTTTCCTGCATGGTTTCTACTTGGATTTTCAACGTATTACAATCAGAAATTTCTCAAGTTTCACTCAACTATAGGCNGATCCAATTCCGACAAATATGTTAAGGTCACAGATCTATACAATTTGGTCACAATTCAAAATTTTCGTAGGTCACAATTTGTTTATTGGTCACAACTTAAAAATTTAAAAGTCACAATTTGTTCATCAGTCACAGATCACAAAATTTATAAGTCACAATACTTATTTAGGTCACAATTTATCAATTTATTGGTCACAATTAATAATTTTTTGGTCACATATTGTCCAATTTTTAGGTCACAGATAATCAAATACTTGGTACAGACCACCAATAGTAACCACTACTGTCACCGCCCCCGCCACAAAACCGCCACCACCTCACTGCCACAAAACGACCACAACCTCACGGCAACCAGTACCACCACCACCGCTGTCGGATCTGTGCACAAAACCATCAAAAACCAGAAAACTACAACGGATATGTGCACAAAAAACATAAAAAAGGACAAAAATTACAATGGATCACCCACGTACACACAGCCAACAACACCGTTCGGAAGAAACCCACACAGATTTGCAACAATCGGCAAAAATCAGACAAGCATCCACCACAACCATCTGATAAAACAAACTCGAAAACTAAAAAAAAAAAAGGAACTAGTAGCAACCACAAAAATACAAACTGAAAGACGCAAATAAAATGACCATTGGACCTACTGCCAAATCCTCTTATTACAACAGCTTACCGAGAGCAGCCAATTGGGAATTCTTAGAGTGAGAATGGAGACGTTTTAGGGTTGGTTGGGTTCAAAATTCAAATGAAGGTGGAGGCAGTAGCACTTATTTCACCGGCGACGGGAAGATGCTGGTGAATCGACGCCGTTTGCAGCGTTGTCTTTCAGTGGAGGCGTTGCGGTGGCGGCGAAGGGAGGTGTTGCGTCTCTCCCAACCGGACGTCCTGGCCAGATTGTCTTTCGTCGGAAGGGTGGAGAACAACATATATGGCCCCGTTCGGGAGGGATTAAAATCCAATTAAAATTGAAAATATGGGCGTTATTGGGTCCCACTCGTCTAATAAAAGTCAACAATAACGGCTATATTTTCAATTTTAATCCGATTTTAATCCCTCCCATACAGGGCCTATGACTCGTTCTCTGCTACTTCGCCGAATGTGAAAGAGAGAAGAACGGTGAAGAC